AGAGATGGTATAAGCTTTATCCAGTTTCTCCTTTCATAGATGGCAGCACGTTACCTGAACATAACGAACTACAGATATATCACTAACGTAGCCAGCGTAGGTTACAATGGTGACTGTACAGATGGCTGAGGTAACCTGTCGGAACCTACTACTATATGTAGCGATTGTGTAAGTTGAAAACTTACATGTATGTAAATATATGTGTACAATTATTGCACATATATGCATATATGAAACAGTACAAATTCATTTACAAAAAAAATCCATTCAACTTTCAGTTCAACAACACAAACTATGATCAGATCGATGGAATAACTATGAGTAACGCATTTGGCTCTGTGCTTTGTAATTTAATTATGATTTGATCATTGAACAACATACTCTAAATACCACATTCTTTCCTTTTTTTATAAGATACGTTAATGACGTATTTACATGTTTCTCCGATCAACAAATCCAGCTTTTTGTAGAAAGACTTAACAAACAACACCCTTCTATAAAACTCACCATAGAATAAAAATAAAGTTATATCATTTCTCAAGTTCTTATACATAGATTAGATCAAGTTTCCTAAAAGAATGTTTATCGTAAGGTCATCCACATCGACCTCTACGTACCTTAGGATTCAGTTAATCCCACCTATCAAAAAATAAGCATTTCAAAAACAAATTTCTAATGCTACGACTATTTACAATTCTGAGCTTATAAACACAGCATCTAAAATCTTGTTTTTCTGCAAAACAACAAATTTACTAAAAACTATCATTGAAGATAATATTTCTTATTAAACACGGTACATTTAAGTTGCTTAAGTCATAACAGAAAAATTTCAGTCTTTTGTAAGGATAAATGAAGCAAAATTTAAAACTTTATGAGCACTTGTTCAAAATGAAGAAGTTTACAATATGATATTATACTTGGGACCCTTGATAATGACTCTGTCAATAAAAAAATACAGAAATATGACCCCACATTATTATTATTACGCCCTCAAATTGATTATGAGCTTGTATATTACATGCGTGTTTATTACTTCTAAAATGGAATGGGTGTAGTAATTTATGGGCAGATCACTTTTTCACTGTAGCACTTTATAAAACTACGTGGACTATCATTGATGTTTTAAAGGTTCCACCTAATGTTTTGTAAGTTAAAATGATGGGCAAGCAAAAAATAAATTTTCCAAATTTCGTGAGATATTACTTGAATTACAGATATGTTACAGATATTAATGATTTGGTTATGATTATTCAAACAAATCAAGAATTTTTTTTTTATTGTTTGGCAGTAGTAAAATGAATTGGTTGGGTTTCTAATCCATTTAAAATAATTTTTAATTGAAGACTAAATAAAAAAGTACTACCTAGAATAAGACTGATGTAGTCTCATTTTGGTCCTTCTTCTTGTGAGAAGAATATTTTAGACAAAAATTGGATAATCTTGAGAAGATAAGATAATAGACGACCATCATCTACCATGCTCATCAATCAAAATTAAATATAGCTCTTCAGATCCATATACCTATCCAACAAAAAACATATGGGCAATAAGAGACCATCTGGTTCTTTGTAAACCCACATTTCAGAAAAGTAAAAATATAAACCTATCCTTTACTTTTCATGAAATCATTGATTCCCCTCTTAAACTCTTTTAAATTGCCAGCCTCCACTACTGCTGACAGCAACTAATTCCAGTCTGTAAGCCAACCATCCTATCAGAAAGGTAAAGGTTTTTCCTAACTGGAGCCCAATCTTTTTTTTTACAAACATTTAGTTTGTGTCCTCTCATCTTATTATCGTCTTCATAATATAGCATAAAGAATCAGAGGCCTTAATACTAATGATTCCCCAATTAACCTTGTAAACACTAATATCATATCTTACCTTTTTTTTCTCAAGAGAACATAACTTAAAAGAACCTAATGCAGCTTTATAAGATGACCCTTCCATCCCCAAAATCGTAGTAGCCCTCCCATGTACCCTTTCCAAAAGGTCAATATCATTTCTTGAATAAGGTGACTAAAACTGTATGCATTATTATGAGTGAGACCTGACTAGTTATCTTTATAGTAATAATCACTTCTTTTGACTTGTAATCAATATGTATGTAAGTATACCATTAAATTTTATTAGCTTTACTACTAGCAACAGAGCACTGCTTGAATGTCAGGAGTGACTTGAGTTACACAGTTCCAAAATCCATCTCTTCAGTCATACTATTGAGTTGGTTTGAATCCATATTAATTGTGTGATCCAAATTATAACTCAAAAGCATTACCTTGCACTTACTACCATTGAAGATCAGCTGCCAAATATTTGTCAACTTGCCAATAATTTAATCTACATACATTACATCACTGAGAGTGTTAATAGAAATATACTGATGATTTAAATAATTTGGGCTTTGAAGAAAGCTTGAAGGTTTAAGCATGTTTTCACTAAATCATAGAAAAATTAGATGTAACTTGATAAAAGTTTAAAGCTAACTTAAGTACTTGGGGTAATAAGTGTAAAAATACATATTCGTACAAGTGTGAGCTGTAAATGCGTGGATCTTACACACACTTACATACGTGGATTTATCACGTCAAGTTGTATTTGGCCTACATATCAGTTGAATGTCCACCGTGCAAAGAAGCTGTAAAATATAAAGAATATTTCCAAAATGACATAGTATAATATTATATTGTTACTTACACATACGCAAACTATCACATGTTGAAGATACAGTATGAACAAAATGTACAAGATAAATAAAAAAAATTACCATGCTGATACCTAGAATTACATTTGGTGGAGTCAAAATAGAGATTGTAATTTAAGTAAATAATGTCTACAGTATCTCCAGCCTTCTTTCCTTACTTTTTTTACGATCCTTATTCCAGATTTTTAAAATCAACATTTTTTATTTATCTTGTTTACTGGCTTTTTTTATGCTCAACTATGTACAAAGGATAACTTAATAAGGTAGCTAACTTTATACATTGTAATGATAATAAACGTAGGTGGTAGCTAGCTGATACGTTCACGATGATTTACTGTAGTTATGGACTATTTGATCGCATTAGTTCGAGATGTAAAAGTTGCAGTTGTAGGATGTCATGGAGATTTGTTTGAGAATATAGCGAGCATTTATAATTTCTGTGTAACTAAATTATCTATATAAAATTTATAGCAATGGACAGATATATGCCTAGACTAAGACACAAATCCCAATAAGCAAGAAAAAAATTACCAGTAGCAAATAAAACATGTACATCTAAAACATCACTTTAAATACACCTTCGTGTGTTTTAAAGTAATTATCATACGAATGTGTGTAATAAAATTTAATATTATGTGTACTGATTTTTTTTTACTCCTTCACTTCATACACAATATAAGGGTTGGTTCCATAAAGGCACTGATTGCATAGTGTACAAAGCATTGAGTATCTACATGTTACAGTCATCTAATGTTCATCTATTATTGGCTGATAATTTCTGTTTCACCCTGTACATAAGCTTTTTAAAGGAACACCAGATGTTTGTAAGAACGGTTGCTTCTGAACACCCCTGGTTGTCCTCAAACACGTTGAGGTTGAAAAGACGTAACCAAAATTACCACCCAGAGTATAAGTACGTTGTAAGAATGGGCTGTTTTGAGCGGATTTTCTTTTCATTGTAAGTCTAACATGCGTGCTTTTTGTTTTAAAGTGTTGTTTAAACTGAATCATTATTGTTTAAGGTTCTCTTTGCCAGAACGTTCTATTAGGGTTTTGTGCAACTCCTTGCGACTCCTATTATGAACCAATATCGTGATTCATGATACATTCTTTGCTGTCGTAGGCCTGGACACCCTAGTCAATTGACATCCCATAAAAACCGGATAACAGCCGATATTTATTCCGCTTGTAATTCCAAGAATTGAGATTCGATTAAAACTGGATAGCAGCCAATTTTTACGTAGAGATCTGGGGAATTCCTTTAAGTAATTTCAGAAATGATTCCATTTACTTTTTGTCCTGTAGGTCTGAGCAAACGTTATCCTTCAAAAATAACCGTTTTATTACTGTAACAGCTAAACGTTGTATTGGGTTTGGGCGAAATTTGTATAGAGGTAGAATAAACGGTAAGTTAAATGTGTACCAAATTTAAGAAAAATCGAAGTTTTGGAAGTATGTTTTATACATTTTTAAGAATTCCGTACAATATGGTGCGTAGAAGAAGAAGACGAAGAAAATCAGATGAATTTTGGTATCGCATAATTTAGTTTTGGCTGAACGTATTTTCTTGAAATTTGGAATCTGAGGTAAGCAAACTGGGAAGCAGTACAGGTGAAAAATTCATAGAGGTAGAACTAAGTTATAGGTAGCTGAAAACCGCAATTCCTTGGCTCATGTTTTTGTTTTTTTTTTCATGGCCGCCCGCACACTACAATGTGTCTTGATTTCAAGGGAATGCAGAAAGTATGAGGAAGTGAATCGTGAATACATACTTTAATGCGAAATATCAATTGAAATATAACTTAATAAAAATACTGATCATCTGAACGTTTAATAGGAAATAAAAAGTCTGTGAATCTACCCTCTGATCTTTTGTGCTGCGGATTTGCTATAAGGGTGATAGTCAAATACTACTATTTGATTCCACAAGAGTTGGGACTGCTGACATAATTTCCTGTACTCTGTCAGTCCAAAATTAGAGACAGTTATGCACCGCTAGCCTTTCATGTAACTACAGCCGAAAATTGTGAAACAGATTTTAAAAAAAAGAATAGACAAGTGTAAAGAAGCCTAAACAACCTAAGCCTGTGAAATCAGTATTTGATTTCATGCTAAATTTTAAGTAAAGAAACTAACAAAAATGAATAAAGCTGCTTTAGAGTGTACTTAAATCACTCCATGTTGTAATTATGAAAATATATTTCCCAGGGGGCAGTGAAAATAGCGCTTGACTTCATTGGCAGATATGACGTTTATTCGTCTAGCGAATAAGAATTGCGAATCATGTAACACACCCTTTTACGTACACATTGCTGACATTTTGAGAAGAATTGATAAGCGATGGAAAAGATATGTTCGATAGTAGTGTCAGTATGTTTCTCAGTTAATATGGATGTAGACGGTTGTTAAAAACAAAAACGCGAACAAGTGAGAAGTTTATACTAATAGGCAACATTGTCTGTTTTTGTGCGGTTATATACCTAAATGTTTTTTCAAAGCCAAAGAGTAAGAATATTTTTGAATTACTAACAGTAACAGTATGTTTCTAAATGATTTTAAGAATAATATACTAAATTATTATAATTTCTATTTCAATACATAATACTTTAATTACTTATTAATTTTATGAGTAAGCTGTTTTTTATAATAATCTTACACACTCTTTGCTTTTTACAGTTTTTGCATTAATCCTTTAGTTATATTAATTTTGTTTTATTTCGATAACATTTATTATTATTAGTATTAGTTGAACCTTATTGAGTTATTCCGAAGATGAACTTGTTTATCATATTTACTGAATATCAATGTGTTGCCCTTTTTGAATTTGATCACTTCTAACAAAATAACACATTTTGGTCCCATTTGAATGTCATGAGTTAAAACTGAAGGAAACAATCTTTACATAAAATTAAACAAATGAACAAGGAAATAATTATATAAAACTTAATTCTTAGAAAGGTGCTATAATTACTGTAATTGCCTTTGATTGGGATACAGTTAATAAAGGACGCTGAAGTTTGTTACTTATTGAGTTATTCATAATCACTAGTTTTATATGTTGATTACCTATATAAGAATACTCGGTTTACCACTATATCTGTGTCATTCTGCCCTTTCATTTAATCTTAACTATCTACTCATAATCCACTTAAAGTTGAAAATAAAATATTTTGGAGAACTCAATTTGTAACAAGACCTCCAAAGTCCCTGCATTTACTATAGTATAAATAGAACAGATTTGAAACTTCTCCTTACCCTCTTTTTTTTTTAATTGATTCTTTGCTTGTTCCCACCTACAAACAACATCCTTCTATAATGACATGGGGAGGGCAGGGTTGATTAGACCCTCTTAATCACTTACAACCATCCTAAAACCTTGCAAATAGGCAATCTTTTGAGTTTCCTCTTGACTGCCTCACCCCTTTTAAGTATCAGTTCTTTGGTGGTTTCTTACTTTAAATGACTCCAATTAAAATCTTGTTGTGTTTTCAAGGTATGACCCACCCACCTTATCCTGTAACCAATTACAGGCACTCCAAAACCATATACATAATGTAAATGGCAAGATTTTGAGCTCTTTCAAACTGCTCCATTCCATTGTAAGAATTATTTCATACTATAAATGGCTCCACCAATAATTACATGAGGAACCAGGGTAGGATACACCCATCCCTGAAAACCCTGAAAGTAGATGAGCTTTTAAATTCCTCCATATTTCCTCATCCAATTTTAAAAGTTAAATCTCTGCTTGTTCCCCACTCTAAATTAACCCCCCCCCTATAATTCTATTGAGGGAGCCAGGGTGGGGCATACCCTTAGAGAAGCCCATAGTTTTCCCATATTTTGTTGGGTACTTAATGGTTGTTTGTAAAGTTTATTTAAGGAGAACGTGGGCAAATGCTCAACTTTTTCTCCCTCCCCTTGCTGGGCAGAGGTTTACTACTCCATTTTTTTTTTTTTGTAAGGGATTATGAGCATGTAGTCAATATTAAAAAAAACAACAGAAATAGGAACAAAGTATAGTGGAAATTTAAGGATTTTAGTGTAGGTACAGAATTAATGGTCATGAATAAGAAATGAAGAACAAGAAATATGCAACAAGCTTTAGCTTCCTAGTTAATAATGAAGCTTAAAATTGTTAATAATCAACATTAGCATTGGAATATGATATTTTTCAAACAAAAAATCAGTGAAATCAATAATGTCAAATATGTAAAGTTAGCAAAGATTTAGTTCTTGCTACTTATTGTAAATACTTCTGTTTTCACTAAATCATAGAAAAATTAGATGTAACTTGATAAGAGTTTAAAGCTAACTTAAGTACTTAGGGTAATTAGTGTAAACTTTGGTGGCATATATCAACACGTGTTCTTTGACAGAACTGTTTCTCTGTATATATTGGGTTGGTTGCTTCTATGTGTGAATAGTGACTTCAGTGGGCTGAATACCCTTATGTAACCACACTTAGTAAGGCTTCTTCCTGATAAATTTCATTTTGATGATGTTTGTTTTTAGTTTTAATATTTATGATATAGCTAGTATACAATTTGAATTATGAAATTACATCAAAATAATTTAACTTATCTTGCTTGTGAACTGTTGGCTAGCTTATTTTAAGTAAAATAACCAACATATAAATAAAGGTAACTGGATATAAAGAATTAAGGTTGCATTCAAAAAGGTTGAAGTGAACATATGTCTGTATTTTTAATATTGTAAGTTATAATTTTAATTTATTAATTTTGACTTGTATTATTACAGATCTTTAGTAAAGACAGAAATATCTTATAGTTGAGATTATTGCCGTGAAGGAAACAGAAGACACTTTTTTATACTGGGTTTCCTTATCCATTTAATGGCTAGTTTCAATAACAAAACAAGAGATGAAATCCGTAAGTATTTTGATCAATTTTTGAGCTTTCAACTCCTCCTTTTTTCTTTTCACAGCTATAAATCATATTTAAGTTCTAAAACCTTTGAGTAGGTCATGCCACATACATGCTCTAAAGTATCTGTTTACAGAGTCATTATAAAGATCCTTGCTTGCTATCATAGATTGGATAATATTTTGTTACAGATTTTTTTTAAAGCTACTTCATATGAATTCATATACTTGTTGGTTAATTATGTATTTGTATAAGTCTTAATGGCATAAATATAAGATGTTAATTGGTCAGAATATTCTGTTTCAATCAGTGTTTCTTTCTTTGTATATAATTACATACTGTAAGTACTCTTTATAAATATTTATTCCAATCTATACTTAGATTTTACATTTTTTGGTACAACATGGATAAGAATAAGAAATATTAAATTCAGTAGCAAACAGGATTCTTGTTTGTAACTGAGGCTATTTTACAATAAAGTATGTTTGAAATATATATATTTACACAATTAATATACAATGTTAATGAGTATTACAAAAGGTATACAATTTTTTTCCCATTGTTAGTGTATTTTACTCTGTTGATGTTGTTATTGTAATATTATAACATGCATTATTATTTTGTAAAGTATGAACTTTAGTTTAGGCTAAAACAAGCCATGATATTGATATGTTACTCTAATATTTATTTTTTTCATATCTTAAAAAGGGGCTGAACCTTTGTAGCAAAATATGTTATCATTTGTATGTATACGTGTGTACATAAAGGATGTTAATAGATTTGGGTTAATATTGTTTAGAGAAACCTAGAAAAATATCAATGTTTTTAAAAGCAGGCAAGAGTGTGCTGTTTCCTTCTACATATTACTTTGACCTAAATGTTTCATGTTGCACCACAGGATTGATACAGGCTAGTTATGTATGGTAGTAGGCTTTGGTAATGCAATCAAATCACAGCTACTTTTCTTTTTTTTATAGTTATTCCAGTTAGGGCATAGAAATAATGGATACAAAATTATTTTAACATTAACCTTGAGATTTTTAGATCACTTAATTACCCAGCATTCTGTTTGTTTATTTTATTTTGGCAAGTTATTGAAAGTTAGTTTTTTTTTTTTTTACTTAGTCAGCTGTTCCATTTTGGTGTAAGACGTTTTAACTACAGAATTCCTTTCCAGCCATAGCCACAGAAAGATGTTACTTTTTTAGTATCTTTAAAACATGAAAAATGTCTTTTACTTATTAGTGAAAGTTTTGTTACTTAAATAAAGTGTCTCATAATTAAAATAAAAATGTTTAGAAATGAATGGGGAAATATTTTAATAACATTCCAGTTAAGTTTTCCACAACTAACAATTCTGGTTCTGTTAAAATTTGACTTTAATATGGAACAAATTTAATCATCTTGTCCTGCATATGCTAGGAATAGTTTGGACATGTTTAAACTATATATGTTCACTATATCTGCTGTCTGTTAACCATAGAATTGCCAATTTGCCTATGGGTCCATTATTTTTTAGTTACAGGGCCCCGAGTTACACAAATCACATCATAAACAAATACCATTAATATTACCATTAATCCCACTTACTGCTACTGTGGCCTCTGTATATTGTACTTATAAAATGAGTAACTTCACACAATTTTTGTCTTCATGTTGTTGTTTTTTACACTGAGTGTAATGGCAAACAAAAGCATAAAATTACTTGACATGATGTAATATGTAAAACTGACCAGTAGTGAATAGTATATATAAAAAAAGGTATGTAATTTGTGAGTTAAATAAACTTCTCACTTTTTTGTATGCTTAAACACTTATGTGCAACACACGTGAAAAAAATTGTTTTCATGATTTTTTTAAGATATTAGGTTTTTGTATTCTCATGCACATATGGAAATATTGAATAGTTAGTTGCATGGCTTACTAGCTTAGGTGTGTTAGATGCAGGTTAATGTTGTATAAAACGCCTTTAAACTTGCTCTATAAACTGTTACTTTATACTTTAGCTTTAAGTTAATACAGAGATGACAACATGGAAAGGGCATTTTTAGGGAGATCCACTGATGGAACAGGTTGCTTGCATGGTTTGGGCATCATGTACACCTGAGGGAGGAGGATATAATATTTGAAAATTGGATCTCGGTAGGGAGTACCATTTTAGACACAAAACATGTTCTGCTTGTTTTATATTTTCAAACACATATTAAAAATGGATATATTTATTCTAAACCTCTTTTGATCTATAACTTGTTTAAATAAATTTGTATGAAATTCTGTTCTTGAATTTTACTACTGCATGTGTACAAAATTTATTGGTATGCTTATAGGTTTCAGGCCAATTGAAGGCAATTTTTCTTAATAAATAAAAAACATTATACTGACATATTTGTATAATAGAAAAAAATAGATGCTACACATTGGCCAGTATATAACTTCAAATTGTTAAAATATATACTTTTATTTTTATAGTTTATACTTTCAACTTTTGAGAGAATATTAGTCACAGTCATGAAATCTTAAGACAGATATGAAATCAGGGGGACTCCTGTAAAACTTGGAGAGTTGACAGTTATGTTAATATATTAACAACTTAGATTTATAGAAAATATAAAGTGATGTAAAATATTGGAGCTCATGATACTTGTTCTTGAATCCACTAAAGTCTACTTGCTTATTTCAACCAATAATGGTATGCTGTTTCTTTTTATCAGTTTGTGATTTATAATGTATCCATTGATGCAAATGATTTCACCATGTGATTGTGTTGTTGCCTTCACTTCAAAATTCTCAATATTTACCCCATAATTTCTGTTGAATCTGTCTTCTGTTTTGCAGCAACAGCCAAGTTATTAGCCCAGCTGAAGCCTTCTGAATTGAATGAGAATTACCACCCTAGTGGTTGGGAAACATGGAAATGTGCTTTTGCACCTGACGAGTCATATTTTGCTTGGTCTTGTGGAAATCGTCTAGTCACACTTGTACCTTGGAACAGATGCAAATCTACATTGTAAGTCATGTCTGTCTGTTTTAATTCCTTTATAAAGGAAACCATAGGGCTTGTTTAGAGCAGGGGTGTGGAATACATAATGATGAACACCTGGGACAAGTTTTACTGCTATACTTTGCCAATTGGACAAATAGTTTTCTTTTTCACATCTTTTCTTCTGTTGCTAGAAAAGCACTGGAGAGATTTATAGAGAGCCATGCAAGTTCCTGATACTTCTGAACTTCAGAAGTCCAGCACAGGTACATAAACATTTAAAAATAAGTATTTCTAAACTTCAGATCAAAGTCTAAACACACACATAAATATATATATATATATATATATATATATATACTTACTTTACTTACCTAACCTAGACTACACTCTCTACAGACAAATAAATTAATTAAT